ACCCATCCCAAAAGTAAAGTCGAATGTTTTTGTTTAAATTTATAGGAAAAAAGATACTGGAATTTTTGTTCACATTTCTTGTGGGATGATTAATACAGTTAAAATTTAATCTTAAGGGAAATAAACTAAATATAGACAACTTTACTATATAAAAGTTGCTTTAAATATAGACAACATTTCTATGATAAGTTGCTCTAAATATAGACAACTCTTCTATAGAAAAGTTGCTTTAACTATAGACAACTTTTCTATAGAAAAGTTGCTCCAACTATAGACAACTTTTCTATAGAAAAGTTGGTTTAACTTTAGACAACTTTTGTATAGAAAAGTTGCTCTGACTATCTATAGACAACTTTTCTATAGAAAAGTTGCTCTAACTATAGACAACTTTTCTATAGAAAGTTGCTCTAACTATAGACAACTTTTCTATAGGAAAGTTGCTTTAACTATAGAAAACTTTTCTATAGAAAAGTTGCTCTAACTAAAGACAAGTTTTCTATGGAAAAGTTGGTCTAACTAAAGACAACTTTATCGTACAAAAGTTGCTCTAACTATAGACAACTTTTCTTTAGAAAAGTTGCTTTAAATAAGGACAACTTTTCTCTGGTAAAGTTGCTTTAAATATAGACAACTCTTCTATAGAAAAGTTGCTCTATATATAGACATCTTTTCTATATAAAAGTTGCTCTATATATAGACAACTTTTCTATATAATAGTTGCTCTATATATAGACAACTTTTCTATAGAAAAGTTCTTTAAATAAGGACAATTTTTCTATATAAAACTTGCTCTATATAGACAACTTTTCTATATAAAAGTTGTTCTATATATAGACAACTTTTTTATATAAAAGTTGCTCTATACATAGACAACTTTTCTATATAAAAGTTGCTCTATATATAGACAACTTTTCTATATAAAAGTTGCTCTATATATAGACAACTTTTCTATATATAAGTTGCTCTATATATAGACAACTTTTCTATATAAAAGTTGCTCTATATATAGACAACTTTTCTATATAAAAGTTGCTCTATATATACACAACTTTTCTATATAAAAGTTGCTCTATATATAGACAACATTTCTATATAAAAGTTGCTCTATATATAGACAACATTTCTATATAAAAGTTGCTCTATATATAGACAGCTTTTCAATATAAAAGTTGCTCTATATATAGACAACAGCAAATTTTCTATCTAAAATTTGCTGTATATATAGACAACAGCAAATTTTCTATATAAAAGTTGCTCCTTATATAGACAACTTTTCTATATAAAAGTTGTTCTATATGTAGACAACTTTTCTATAGAAATGTAGGCAATTTATCTATAAAGAAGTAGCTCCAGTCAGTATTAGTGATTTGCTAAAGTTATAATCTGATCTCTTTTTGCCCTAAAGGGTTAATCTGATAGTAGCCACTACTGTTTTTTTTTATTTTCTTTACTTAAATTTATATTCACATGTTGTACCTTTGCGTTATTCACATGTTTTTGACGACGACTACACACCTCTAAGGCCGAATTAGGTCTGTCTTTATTATTCTGTTTAATTGTCTAAAGATATTTTTTTTAAGTAGAAAATTTATTGTTATTTCGTTTTGTTTAAAGTTGTTTTTTTTTTTTCGTTTCTTCTTCTCTCGATTGTAAACAATCAATAAATTAATAGAACAACAAAAAAAGTTTAAGCTTTTTTGTTTAAAATTCAAGCCGTTAGTTTTATTTTTAAAGTTTATTTGAAAAGATTTAAAAAAAAACATAAAATGTTAAGGGAAATTTAGAGCAAAACTTAAGAAGTTATATTAGTTTAAATGGAAGAATTTTGAAAAAAAAAATTAAGTTTGTATTTTATAACATTTTCCATATTTAGTCTTGATGAAAACAAAAGACTTAAGCAGCAAACTTTAAACAAGTAACACAAAAAAACGTTCGTTCTTAAGCAGAATTTTTGTGCAAATCTTGAAAAATGTTTTATAATATTGATAAATAAGGTATTTTTAACTACTCTTTGTACTTCTTAAATACTAAACAAATTGTTTTGAATCCTCTTAAAAGTAAAAAAAACTACAACTTTATGATCGATCATAAAAATTTTACGAAAAACAAACCACACAAAATATAATACTGAAACAACAAAATTGATCATCATCAAGATGCATTAAAACAAAATACAACAACACATATTTGAACCTGAACTTGCCACAATTTAAGATACTGGTTTTAAAATACAATTTTTTTTTTGTTTCTTATAAATACAACAACAACAAAACACAATGCAAAGTATTAGCTGCTTATGTTGGTAATAATAAAAGCAAGTGTGTTTGTGTTGGTGTGTTTTAGTATCTATGTATAAGTTTGATTAAAAGTTGCAACTTGGTATTTTCTTAACATTAAACAATTTTTATTGGGATGCTGCTGTTGCACGATGTTTACTTGTAAAATGAAGAGAAAAAAAAACTATACAAGAAAACATGGAGAAAAATAAAGCTTATTTCCAAGAACCACAAAAATATACACAGATCCAAAACATATATACATACATACATATATACCAACTTACATGTGTAAGGGGACAGACAGACAGACATACAAACATTGGATTCATGACTAAAGATATATTACTCACACTCAAGAGATATTGTATACAGAGAGAAGAAAGGTAGAAGAGTTGCCATTTTCTATATATATATAAAACTTGCTTCAATAAACACAATGTTTCTATAGAAAAGTTGCAGCAACTTTAGTAAATATTTCTCTAGAAAGTAATTTCTAGTATAGACAACTTCTCTAAAGGAAAGTAGCTCTATATTTAAAAACATTTTCTAAAGGAAATTTGCTCTAACTATAGACAACTTTTCTATGCAAATGTTGCTCTAACTATAGACAACTTTTCTATACAAAAGTTGCTCTAACTATGGACACATTTTCTATAGAAAAATTACTCTGACGATAGACAACTTTTCTATAGAAAAGTTGCTTTAACTATAGACAACTTTTCGAAAGAAAAGTTGCTTTCACTATAGACAACTTTTCTATAGAAAAGTTTCTACAGAAAAGTTGTTCTAACTATAGACAACTTTTCTATACAAAAGTTGCTCTAACTATAGACAACTTTTCTATTCAAAAGTTGTTCTAACTATAGACATATTTTCTATAGAAAAGTTGCTCTAACTATAGACAACTTTCCTATTCAAAAGTTGTTCTAACTATAGACATATTTACTATAGAAAAGTTGCTCTGACGATAGACAACTTTTGTTTTAACTATAAACAACTTTTGTATAGAAAAGTTGCTCTAATTATAAAGAACTTTTCTAAAGAAAAGTTGCTTTAACTATAGACAATTTTCTATAGAAAAGTTGCTCTAACTATAGACAACTTCTCTATATAAAAGTTGCTCAAATTAAAGACAACTTTTCTATACAAAAGTTGCTCTAACAATAGACAACTTTTCTATAGAAAAGTTGCTTTAACTATAGACAACTTTTCTACACAAAAAATGCTCTATCTACAGACAACTTCTCTATAGAAAATTCGCTCCAACTATAGACAACTTTTTTATAGGAAAGTTGCCGAAACTTTAGAGAAAGTTTCTAAAGAAAAGTTGCTCTAACTATAGACATCTTTTCTATAGAAAAGTTGCTCAAACTATAGACATCTTTTCTATAGAAAAGTTGCTCAAACTATAGACAACTTTTCTATATAAAAGTTGCTCCATCTATAGACAACTTTTCTATAGAAGAATTGCTCAAACTATAGACATCTTTACTATAGAAAAGTTGCTCAAACTATAGACAACTTTTTTATAGGAAAATTGCCGAAACTTTAAAGAAAGTTTCTAAAGAAAAGTTTCTCTAACTATAGACAACTTTTCTATTCAAAAGTTGTTCTAACTATAGACATATTTTCTATAGAAAAGTTTCTCTGACGATAGACAACTTTTCTATAGAAAAGTTGCTTTAACTATAAAACTTTTGTATAGAAAAGTTGCTCTAACTATAGACAACTTTTCTATAGACAACTTTTCTATAGAAAAGTTGCTCAAACTATAGACATCTTTTCTAAAGAAAAGTTGCTATAACTGTAGACAACTTTTTTATAGGGAAATTGCCGAAACCTTAAAAAAAGTTTCTAAAGAAAAGTTGCTCTAACTATAGACAACTTTTCTAAAGAAAAAGTGGTTCTAACTATAGACAACTTTTCTATATAAAGGTGTCTCTAACTGTAGACAACTTCTATATAAAAAAGTTAGTCTTACTATAGACAACGTTTCTATAGAAAAGTTACTCTAACTATAGACAACTTTTCTATAGAAAAGTGGCTCTAACTGTAGACAACTTCTATATAGAAAAGTTACTCTAACTATAGACAACGTTTCTATAGAAAAGTTACTCTAACTGTAGACAACTTCTTTATAGAAAAGTTACTCTAACTTTAGAAAACGTTTCTATAGAAAATTTACTCTAACTGTGGACAACTTTTCTATACAAAAGTTGCTCTATCTGCAGACAACTTTTTTATACAGAAGTTGCTCCATCTATAGACAACTTTTTTATAGAAAAGTTGCCCCAACTTTAGACAAGTTTTCTTCATAAAATTAGTCTCTATCGTAGACAAGATTTCCATAGAAAAGTTGCTGCTACTTTTTATCACATTTTTATATTATAGACAACTTTTCTATTGAGAAATTCCAACGTCTACAGACACTTTTTCTATAGATCACAACACTTAAGATAAAAACCCTTAAAAACACTTCAAATTAGGGCAATTTTTCTCAAAATTTCAAAAATTCAAAATCGTTAAAAAAACAACTTTCCTTTGGCAGCTCTGTCTTGACCAAACCATAATAAATAAAGGAATTTTATTGTATAGATTTTTACAGCTTCTTTATTTAATTGACTTTATTATATATTTTTTTCTTTTTCATTTATTTTCAATTTTTTCGAAATTTTTTTTTTTGTATTTATAACTTTTGCTGGCTTGATTGAGGTCACTTACTTTGGTTGTTAATCTACTCGAGCACCGGTATTCCATTGTATTGTGAGTTATTTTGTTAAAGATATTTTTTAAAAAACAATTAACTTATTAAATTTTTTAATTTACTTTGTGATTTATTATATATTTTAATATAAATTAAAATAATATATTTTTCAAATTATTTTATTAAACTTTTACGTATGTTTCTTTTTTATTAAATTAATTTTTAATTAAAAATCTTTTTAGTTTTCTTTACTTAGTTGATGTTTTTTAAATATATTTTTGGTAATATTTTATATAACTTTTTTTTTCTTAAAATTTTTCTTAACTCCCGTAATGTTTTTATTTTTTGTTGTTAAAAGTTCCACCAATTTTTTTTTATTTTATTAAAAAAATAAACCGTTTTACTCGAGAGTTCACCTTAGACTGGCCATCCAAATATTACTAACCATTCCTTTAGCACTTGGGGCTTAAAGAAAATATAAAAATGAAACAAAAAAACTATATGTATAAAAAAAAATGTTGTTAATACTACAACAAAACTTCTTTGGCTTTTTGTCTTCTTAACACTTCTCTTTATCTCTTTTTGGATTTCTTTTCTTGCACGTTTTCTTTTTTTGTCTTTTCTTTTTCAGCTTTTTGTTTCTCTTTTGTTTGCTTTCTTTCACATTTAGTTTTGTTTGATCTTCACTTGCCACACATAATTTAATTTGTTGTTATTGTTGTGGTGTTTGTCGTTTAAGCCAAGTTTGAAAAAATACACTGAAGAAATTTTTAAGGGAAATTTTATCTCTTAGTTACTTCGTTGAAGCAAGTTTTCTATAGTTGAAGCAAGTTTTCTATAGAAAAGTTGTCTATAGTTGAAGCAACTTTTCTATAGAAAAGTTGTCTATAGTTGAAGCAACTTTTCTATAGAAAAGTTGTCTATAGTTGAATTAAGTTTTCTATAGGAAAGTTGTCTATAGTTGAAGCAACTTTTCTATAGGAAAGTTGTCTATAGTTGAAGCAACTTTTCTATAGAAAAGTTGTCTATAGATAGAGCAGCTTTTCTATGTAAAAGTTGTCTATAGATAGAGCAACTTTTCTATGGACAAGTTGTCTATCGATAAAGCAACTTTTCTACAGAAAAGTTGTCTATAGATAAAGCAACTTTTCTATAGAAAAGTTTTCTATAAATAGAGCAACTTTTCTATAGAAAAGTTGTTTAAAGATAGAGCAACTATTTTATAGAAAAGTTGTCTATAGATAGAGCAACTTTTCTACAGAAAAGTTGTCTATAGATAGAGCAACTTTTCTACAGAAAAGTTGTCTATAGATAGAGCAACTTTTCTACAGAAAAGTTGTCTATAGATCGAGCAACTTTTCTATAGAAAAGTTGTCTAAAAATAGAGCAAGTTTTCTATAAAAAAAGTTGTCTAAAGATAGAGCAACTATTAAGTTGTCTATTGATAGAACAACTTTTCTATAAAAAAATTGTCTATAGAGAAAACAACTTTTGTATAGAAAAGTTGTCTATATATAAAGCAACTTTTGTATAGAAAAGTTGTCTAAATATAGAGCAACTATTCTATAGAAATGTTGTCTATAGAAAGAGCAACTTTTCTATAGAAAAGTTGTCTATAGAGAAAGCAACTTTTGTATAGAAAAGTTGTCTATATATAAAGCAACTTTTCTGTAGAAAAGTTGTCTATATATAAAGCAACTTTTCTATAGAAAAGTTGTCTATAGATAGAGCAACTTTTCTATAGAAAAGTTCTCTATAAATAGAGCAACTTTTCTATAGAAAAGTTGTCTAAAGATAGAGCAACTATTTTATAGAAAAGTTGTCTATAGATAGAGCTTTATATATAGACAACTTTTCTATACAAAAGTTGTCTATAGATAGAGCAGAAAAGTTGCTTTATATATAGACAACTTTTCTACAGAAAAGTTGTTTTATATATAGACAACTTTTCTACAGAAAAGTTGCTTTATATATAGACAACTTTTCTATAGAAAAGTTGCTCTATCTATAGACAACTTTTCTGTAGAAAAGTTGTCTATATATAAAGCAACTTTTCTGCTCTATCTATAGACAACTTTTGTATAGAAAAGTTGTCTATATATAAAGCAACTTTTGTATAGAAAAGTTGTATATATATAAAGCAACTTTTCGGTAGAAAAGTTTTCTATAATTAGAGCAACTTTTCTATAGAAAAGTTTTCTATAATTAGAGCAACTTTTCTATAGAAAAGTTGTCTAAATATAGAGCAACTATTCCAAAGAAAAGTTGTCTATAGATAGAGCAACTTTACTATAGAAAATTTGTCTATGTAGAAAGCAACTTTTGTATAGAAAAGTTGTCTATATATAAAGCAACTTTTCTATAAAAAAGTTGTCCATAGATAGAGAAACTTTTCTATAGAAAATTTGTTTCTATAGATCTTTTCTATAGAAAAGTTATCTATAGATAAGGCAACTTTTTATAGAAAAGTTGTCTATAATTAGAGCAACTTTTCTATAGGCAAGTAGTCTATAGATAGAGCAACTTTTCTATAGAAAAGTTGTCTATAATTACAGCAGTTATTCTATAGAAAATATGCCTGTATTTGAAGCAACTAGAAGTTGAAGCAATTTTAAACTGTTGTCTATAGAAAAATTATGTTCTTTACACACTTTTGTCTCTATCACTTCATCATTTCCCTCGGGCTACGTAACACTACCGATTATAGGTCATTTGTGGGGAAAAAAATTTAAAACGTTAATAACTTTTGTCAACACTTTAGCACGCAAAATACTATACGTATCTGTGATTTTTTTAATTCGTCTTCATTCTTGTGTTTTTAAAGTATATTTTTTTCAGTTATAAGTTAAACTTCATTCATTCTATTTATGTTAATTGTTAAGAACATTTTTTTTTTGTTTATTTTTTAAATTATTATTAAGACGAGAGTAATAATAATAAAACGGCTTGAAACCATTAAGTACTTTAAATAGACAATGTTTTAGTAAAGATTACATCACTTGCACATATGATAATTTTTTTAAAAATGTGCAAAAAAAAAACTATTTTCAGTTTCTAATAGAAGCAATTGTCTTCCGGCTTGAGAAATATTTAAAAGAATTTTACTTTCCCATCGAAGAGTTAACAGTTTTCTAGAGAATTTCTTATTTGTGGAAAAGATACGCACGTAATTTCAAGGTGTATTCCTTTCTATAGAAAATTGTCTTATTTAATTCTTTTCTTGTAGAAAAAGTTGTCTTCTTAGGAGTAATTTCTATAGAAAAATATATATTTTGGACTATTTTTCGACTCTTTTCTATAGAAAAGTGCGTATGTAATGTAATCTAACATTCTATATTAAAAAGGAAAATAGTCTTCTCTAGCTTATTTTCTATAAACAAGTTCTTCTATACCATATAGAAATGTATTTTTTAGATGCATTTCTGTAGAAAGTTATTCTTTAGACTCTTTTCTATAGAAAAGTGTCTTTTTAGTTTATTTCCTATAGAAAAATATACACTATTCTATATAAATGTAACTTCTTAAACAATTTTCTATAGAAATGTTTTTTATCTCTTTTCTATAGAAAGGTTTTTTCTTTAGACTATTTTCTATAGAAAAGTTCTTCTCTAAATTCTTCTCTATATAATAGTGCATTCTTTAGACTATTTTCTTTAGAAATTTTCTTCTTTATACTCTTTTCTATAGGAAAGTGTCTCCTTTACACTCGTTACTATAGAACATTTTATCTTCAGACTCTTTTCTATGGAAGAGTGTCTTCTTATACTATTTTCTATAGACAAGTTTTTCTTCAGACTCCTCTCTGTATATAAGTGTATTCTTTAGACTATTTTTCTATAGAAACGTTCTTTTTACTCTTCTATAAGTTTTGTTTTGATTCTTCAATAGAAATGTGTCTTCTTTAGACTCTTCTTTATATAAAAGTGTCTTTTTTAGGCTCTTCTTTAGAGAAATGTAGTCTATTTTCTAAAAAAAACGTCTTCTTAAGACTCTTTACTATAGAAAAGTGTCTTCTTTAGACTATTTTCTATTAAAAAGTGTCTTCTTTAGACTCTTCGCTATAGAAAAGTGTCTTTTTTAGACTCTTTTCTAGAATAGTATCATCTTTAGAAACTTTTCTATAGAAAAGTGTCTAGTTTAAACTCTTTTCTATAGAAAAGTGTCTAGTTTAGACTCTTTTCCATAGAAAAGTGTCTTCTTTACACTCTACTCCATAGAAAAGGGTCTTTTTAGACTCTTTTCTGCAGAAACGAGTCTTTTTTAGACTTTTTTCTATAGAAAAGTGTCTTCTTTAGACTCTTTTCTATAGAAAAGTGTCTTCTTTAGACTCTATAGAAAAGACTCTATAGAAAAGTGTCGTCTTTAGACCATTTGCTATAGAAAAGTATCTTCTTTAAACTCTTTTATATAGAAAAGTGTCTTCTTTAAACTCTTTTCTATAGATAAATGTCTTATTTAGAGTCTTTTCTATAGAAAAGTGTCTTCTTTACACTCTTTTCTATAGAAAAGTGTCTTCTTTAGACTCTTTTTTATAGAAAAGTGTCTTACTTAGACTCTTTTCTATAGAAAAGTGTCTTTTTTAAACTCTTTTCTATATAAAAGTGTCTTCTATAGACTTTTTTCTATAGAAAAGACTTTTTCATAAAAAAACTATTTTCTATAAAATATGTCTTCTTTAGACTCTTTTCTATAGAAAAGTGTCTTCTTTAGACTCTTTTCTATAGAAATGTGTCTTCTTTAAACTCTTTTCTATAGATAAGTGTCTTCTTTAGGCTCTTTTCTATAGAAAAGTGTCTTCTTTAGACTCTTTTTTAAAGAAAAGTGTCTTACTTAGACTCTTTTCTATAGAAAAGTGCCTTCTTTAGACTCTGCTATAAATAAGTGTCTTATTTAGACTCTTTTCTATAGAAAAGTGTCTTCTTTAGAATCTTTTCTATAGAAAAGTGTCTTCTTTAGACTCTTTTTTATAGAAAAGTGTCTTACTTAGACTCTTTTCTATAGAAAAGTGCCTTCTTTAGACTCTGCTATAGATAAGTGTCTTATTTAGATTCTTTTCTATAGAAAAGTGTCTTTTTTAAACTTTAGACTCTTTTATATAGAAAAGAAGAACTATTTTCTATAAAACGTGTCTTCTTTAGACTCTTTTCTATAGAAAAGTATCCTCTTTAGACTCTTTTTTATAGAAAAGTGTCTTCTTTAGGCTCTTTTCTATAGAAAAGTGTCTTACTTAGACTCTTTTCTATAGGAAAATTTCTTTTTAGACTCTTTTATAGAAAAGTGTGTTTTTTACACTCTTTTCTATAGAAAAGTCTAGAGAAGACACATTTCTATAGAAAATAGTCTAGAGAAGATACTTTTGTCTAGAAAGAGTGTCTTCTTTAGACTCTTGGGTTCAGAAAAGTTATTCTCTTTTAATACAAAA